ATGAATATAATATAAAAGCTGAACGGCTGCAGTACAACGATTTTCATCCGTCTTCATCTGGTGAGATCGAAAAACTAATATTTTTTCATGTACTTTCATTCGAAATGAAGGTCCCCCGAAAATACTTATTCTTCATTACACTCACACTTTCTACACGAACTTAGTCAGCCTGTGTGGACTACGGTGATTTAGGGACTGATAGAAGAGTTTTCCCACACGACGCGAATGATTACTTCATTCAGGGTTGACTGCAGCTTTGACCCAGCCCAGGCCTCATCCACCAACTCACAGTTTATGGTAGGATTTTCGGATGAGCAAACATGTGTTTTCTATTAAAAACGAAAACAGTTCTTATTTTTCATTTGAGATTATTAGTAATTCTTGAATAATAACTCACTTGTATGTAAAAATATCAACTGAATTTCGGTCAATCTCCTGAGATAACATTATTAGCAAAAGTGGGTTGACCTCGTTGTTGCACCTTGGCCTTGTTGTCAGGGGGACTATGTAGAACGCACCCGAAACGAGGGAAGAGGTCTCGTGGACTGCGTCAACCTGAACGTCGTATTTGAGCCAAACGGCTGCAGTACAACGCGATTCATCCGTCCTTTTTTGGTGAGATCGACTAACGAATCTCTTCTTCATACACTTTCATATGAAAAGAAAATCCCCCAACAATAGAAAAAAAAATTGTTAGTCATAGAGTGATTTGACTAATTCCCTTTCCTATTCGTCAATGTCCTTTTACTTGAGTGTGTGTACATGTGTCTGTCGGTATGTCAATGTCTGTACTCAATACCGGTCCTAAATCAGAGTGATTAAAAACAGCTAGCCTCTAGTTATCAAGGTATGAAAACCAAGATGGTGTTGCCTTTTGTATGGTCGTGGTCTCCTCTCGTTGTACGGAAGTTGTTTGACCTTGGTTTCGCAACTTGGTCATATTGCTAGGACCACCTTGCAGAGCGCATCTTGTCTGGAGTCCTGAGTATTCATGATCATTTCCAGAGTCGGACCGTGGACTTGGTACATTCTCAGACGTTTCGCCGGAATTGTAGTCGGCATCATCAATGAGCCTTGTCATGCTCAACAATCAGGCTACAACATGCCAACGAAACAAGTCAAGTCGATCTCTTGACCAACTTTCTGTTGAGACGGTTTTGGTACCACTACTCCTTGGAGTACTTTTCTTTTTTTTCTTGAGGCAAGTAAAATGGATGAATAAGTTGGCCTCATCGGAAGCTGTAGGCAGATTGCCGTGTAACCGTGACTATATTTTTGAAAATAGCTCCTCGCTATGATGTCCTTCGACTCCGATGAATCCTTGCTGACCTTTTGCCCGACATGCGACGGACATCGTCAGAGCAGAAGACTGTGCTTTACGATAATTCGTCAAGCATAAAGACAGGAAAGATGGTCGGCTGCAATCCGACCCACTTTGTCCAGCCCAACTAGGTCCAATTAGTGAGACATGTAATGATTTGGTTAAATCTGGGATTAGCAAACTGTGCGCCGCGAAATATTATAAAAGCTTTATATTTAATTTAACCCAGACATTTGGCAGCATGGAATTGACAGAATGTTGGATTTCAATAAAAAATAAATATCCTCGTCAAAGATTGTTTTGCAATTTTTGACGTCAAATGAACATGATCCTTCGCGAGATAAAAAAACCATGTTTGAGGAGCACTTATCACAGCTAATTAAGTGGTTTGTGAAATATTTTCAAAATGAAAATTTTGATAAGTTTGCATAGATTCAAGATCCATCCATCTGAATTTACTTCTGCAGAAGAAGAGAATCTTATCGAATTATCATTTTGCTTTAACAGTTTGAAAGCAAAATTTTGCAGCATGGAATTGACAGCATATTGGATTTCAATAAAAGATGAATGTCTCCGTCAAAGATTGTTTTGCAATTTTTGACGTCAAATGAACATGATCTTTTCCGAGATATAAAAACCATATTTGAGGAGCACTTATCACAGCTAATTAACTGGTTTGTAAAATATTTTCAAAATGAAAATTTTGATAAGTTTGCATAGATTCAAGCTCCATCCAACGCTAGTGTTCCGTCTGAATTTACTTCTGCAGAAGAAGATAATCTTATCGAATTAGCTTGCGTTGACAGTTTGAAAGCAACATTTTGCAACATGGAATTGACAGAATTTTGGATTTCAATAAACGATGAATATCCCCGTCTAAGTGATAAGGCTCAGCGGATTATAATTCCATTTTCAACGTCGTATTTGTGAGAAGCTGCGTTTTCGGCAGTCACTGTAATAAAAAGCAAGTATACAGCAAAAATCAACGTCGGCCAGGAAATGAGGGTGGCCGTGTCCAGTTTAATTCCACGATTTGAGAAAATGTGCAGTGATTTCAGGCTCATCCATCACATTAATTATTAAAGGTTAATTTAATATCAATAAAGTAAAAAAAATAATGAAGATATATGAGTTTTATTTATTTTTATCTCTTACTTATGAATAGTCATGGAAACATTTTAATTGAAAAAGGGCGCCGCGACTAGGAAAAGTTTGAGAACCACAGGGTTAAATATGGTATGCTTTTACTGCAGGCTGCTGAAAAGTAAGTGCCTATAGATTAAGCGTGAAATGGATGCAATTGTGACCAAACATCTGCATCATCCCTTAAATCACATGAATTTTTTTGATCCTGCAATGTTGCCACATGTGATTGCGTTCCATTGCATATACGTTGTGTGGATGCAATATTTATGCGATGCGTGAGTTTTGAGAGTGAAAACTAGAATTGAAGCTAATCAAGCCCGCTCTTCTTCTTCTTCCCTTTCTATCTCTCTCTAATTCTATCCAACAGTCATAAGTAGTTTCCACTTAATTTACTACACTCATTCTCTCTATTCTAGGTGTTGGTTGTTATGTTGATTTCCATAGATTCCCTAATTTTCCGCTTAACAGTTGGAATAGTTTCCACATTCAACCAAGAGTTTGGCATTAGATCGGTCTATCTAGTATCTGTACATACGTCTGTGTTCGGCCGGCTCTGACTTGTATCCACAAACCTTTGTAAGTTGTTTGATGTTCAGATGACCTTTTTCGTTTGGGTCTACAGGTCTCCCCCACCGAGACGCTATCACGTAAACACAAAACCTCATAACAGCCCGATATGCAAAGTGTGTGTGCACAATTGCCCGAAAAGAGGGCACTACAGAGAGGAGTATTATTTTCTACTTTTACATCGCCCAGATATCACCCTCCCTCAGTAGTTCACCTAACATTCTCGTAAACTGGCACGACGGTACTATCAGGACCCTCTTCGAGTAGGTTGTGTTCAGTCTATTTCGTTTAAAGTGGCGAAGAACTGGTAGTCGATCTTTCCCACAAGAGTAGAGCTGATGTTCCCATTGCATTTCACATAGCCTTGCTTTCCCGAAGTAGACTGCACTTTCGACCCCAAGCGGGAGTCGAACCTCTTAATACTGCAATGAGATGTATTCACCCTATTTCGTGTGTGATGAAGGACTGGTAACAGAATTTTCCCACAATCATATAAGTTGAGCTGACGTTTTCCATTGAATTTCACATAGCCTTGCTTTCCCAAAAGTTGTTCTCATCCAGACACCAATTGACTGTAGTTTCGACCTCGCATCGGTCTTATCAACACTCTCATCACCATAAACGAAATTGGGTGAATACATCTCATATTAATCATTTTATGTATGGCCTAGTCTTTCTGCAGAATTTATTGTCGACAGGCTGTTTTTGCACGGGTTTAGCTCATTTTTCGAGTCAATCATACGACTTTTACTGCCTCCTTTATTCAATATGGCGTTGTCCCACTTTTTTTCCCAAGCAATACCTTCATATTTCCTTTTTTATGTCGCCTTCATTCCTCCTTCGATGCGACAGGCAAGAAGCAGACGTCAAGCGGCCCATTGGCCACCTTACTCCTACTAAAGCGACAGGAAATCTTGGCTCAAGCAGGGATCTTTCGCCAGTCGCCTTTCCCAGTGTCGCACAGTTGAAGGCCACACTTTTGGTAAGCAGACGGATTACTCGAGTACTTTGTAAAAGTTCTCTTCAGCAAAATCTATTCAGACATACTCCTTTTCGAGGTTGCAACTTTATGAAAAGATGTACTTGTTTCCTGTACCTATACCCTTTCTCCCCCTGAAAATGTACTCTCACAATCTCAAACTTCAGGAAAAATCAAGAAGCGAAAGTATCAACGGCACAATGTAATGCACTTTTGTCTTGCAAGTTTCATTTCTCCAGTTGCATTATTTGTGTGAAATTGAATGGAAACGTCAGCTCAACTCCTATCATTGTGGTAAAATTCTACTACCAGTCCTTCATCACCTTACACGAAATAGGGTGAATACATCTCATT